ATATTTGACAGATGTGGGCATGAGGAGATTTGCAGATGTGAAGATGTGGAGATGGAGAGATGTAGAGATGTGAAGATGTGGAGATCTGGAGTTTCAGAGATAGAGGGTTTCACAGAAGTTGCACAGATGGAGGGGTCTAGGGATCTTGGAAGTTAGAAATCCAGGTATCTATGGATTATGAGATACTATAAGGATATAGGTATCCAGGGATGTAGCTAACAGAGTATGTAGAGGATGTGGATTCTTAGGAGTATTTAGAAGTGTATTTAGAAGTACGAGTACTTAGAGATACGGGTAACAAGGAGTTTAGGGATATAAGTACTTAGGAATGTAGATATCTAGGAATATAGATATCTAGAAACATAAGTGACAATATACTTAATTTATATTTAGAGACTTGTAGTCCTACTACATCCCTTGTCACCTATGTTTCTACATACCTATGTAGCTACCTAGGGACATAGGAATATGGGAATTCAAGAATATAGAAACATAGCAATCTATATTTTATTCAGATCTGCCCCTCTTTCAGAATATCAAGAGTAATTTTTATTCCTTCATAAAACTAGTGGAAGCGAAAGAAACATAATATAATAAACTTAACATAACCTCTATTTTCTATAATCAATTACAATATTGTTATTCCATTAAAATTTTTCAGACGTGTTAATTATCAACCCCTCAAGCATCCAAAGCTCTACCAAAGTCTATCACGGTTAATTCAGAGATAAAAAAAGTAAAAACAAGAAATAAATCGTTAAGTTGTTTAATCGTACTGAACGCTCAAGGGGATGAAATGAGGAAGAAACTCTAAAACGTAATAATCTAGAAATAATTGGAAACTGTACAATTCAAAATGTAGGAATGACTATCGTTCTTACGCTAATGTTTTTGGCGTCTTTAATCATTTAAATATATTGCCTTTGTAACAAATATTCTGCGCAAATGGATAAACATACACACGAAATAAGCATAATTCACGCCCGGTGGCCTTGAAACGTCGCGGAAGAATTTCCGAAGGAAACTGTTATAGCACCCTTAGCCGCAGCATCGGCCGCCATCTGTGATCAACGCTGCAAGACAACTCGCCTCGTGTTCCTTATTTTTCGTGCACGCATTCTTTTAAAGCATCGTTCGATATCTTCTTCTCCACCATAAATTAAACAGAGATATTTCAATCCAAAACAATTTAATTAACAAAAAGAACGTAGGAGAAGGGTAACTCTTTCGTTTATCAAATACGCAAAATGGTTTATAAAATACGTAATAAAACAATCCACATATTTTAATCGTTGTTTAATTTATGACCAGAGAAAAAGAGAAGAATTCTTTGCAATTTCACGCTTCGACTAAAGAGTTCATATTACAAATCAATATTTATCGATCGTATATTCTATGCTGAATTATTTATGATTATAATACAAGATAGTCGAATTAATTTCATATTAACATGTTAATTAGAAGCATACATTCTCGTCGAACTCGATTCCAAAGTTCACTCTATTAGTATCACAATTAATCGAATTCGCCTCACAATCAGCCACACCTTCGACTACCCTCGATAAACTTTACTGTCGCGTGTGCACTGTCGTATTTACAATTCAATTACGCTAATGCTTTTTTCACGCGTTCGCTATGGACTACGGCTCATGGACAACTGCATATGTGAATTGGGGAAAAATAAGTACAGTATTTATTTTAATAAGTAAGGTGCGTAAGTCGTCGAGATCGGTGATGGGGAAAATAGGGGTTGGTGGTGAAGTGACATGGAGGACACTGGTGGACTCGCTTTGGAAATCTGCTTTTATAAATTTATTTTGTGGATTTCTGTATTGGTAGATTGCTAGAGTTACTTATACTCATATTCTCAAATTTTCTAAATTTACTTTTCCACCTCCCCTAATTTTTACATTTCTGAATTCTCAAGATTCTAAATTCTCAAGTTTCCAAATTTCTCACACCCCCAAATTCTCAAGCTTCCAAATTTCTCACACCCCCAAATTCTCAAGCTTCCAAATTTCTCACACCCCCAAATTCTCAAGCTTCCAAATTTCTCACACCCCCAAATTCTCAAGCTTCCAAATTTCTCACACCCCCAAATTCTCAAGCTTCCAAATTTCTCACACCCCCAAATTCTCAAGCTTCCAAATTTCTCACACCCCCAAATTCTCAAGCTTCCAAATTTCTCACACCCCCAAATTCTCAAGCTTCCAAATTTCTCACACCCCCAAATTCTCAAGCTTCCAAATTTCTCACACCCCCAAATTCTCAAGCTTCCAAATTTCTCACACCCCCAAATTCTCAAGCTTCCAAATTTCTCACACCCCCAAATTCTCAAGCTTCCAAATTTCTCACGTCCCCTAATTCTCAAGCTTCCAAATTTCTCACATCTCCTAATTCTCAAGCTTCCAAATTTCTCACATCTCCTAATTCTCAAGCTTCCAAATTTCTCACATCTCCTAATTCTCAAGCTTCCAAATTTCTCACATCTCCTAATTCTCAAGCTTCCAAATTTCTCACATCTCCTAATTCTCAAGCTTCCAAATTTCTCACATCTCCTAATTCTCAAGCTTCCAAATTTCTCACATCTCCTAATTCTCAAGCTTCCAAATTTCTCACATCTCCTAATTCTCAAGCTTCCAAATTTCTCACGTCCCCAAATTCTCAAGCTTCCAAATTTCTCACGTCCCCTAATTTTCAAGCTTCCAAATTTCTGACATCCCCAAATTCTCAAGCTTCCAAATTTCTCACGTCCCCTAATTCTCAAGCTTCCAAATTTCTCACATCCCCAAATTCTCAAGCTTCCAAATTTCTCACGTCCCCTAATTCTCAAGTTTCCAAATTTCTCACGTCTCCTAATTCTGAAATTCCCAAATTTCTCACGTCTCCTAATTCTGAAATTCCCAAATTCTCAAGTCCCTACATTCTCATCCCCCAAATCTCCTACCTCCCCAAATTTCTCACATCCCCTAATTCTGAAATTCCCAAATTCTCAAGTCCCTACATTCTCACCCCCCAATTCTCCTCCCTCCCCAAATTCTCCACTTCCCAAATTCCCAACTCCCCAATTCCCTTTCAAAACCTAAAAATTCCTAACCATCTACCTTCCAAAGCCATAAAATTTCAAGATCGAGCCCATCACCGATCAAGATCACAGCCAAATCGTCCGCAAGCGTCATCACCGTTCAAAATGTTCTCCACTACAATGTCTCGGTCCAATAATCCGTATAGACAGCACCCACGTAAACACATATTTCCTGTACGAACGTCATTCGAAACGTTCATGCAACCACAAAGCCGTTATAATCGAACGAAATGATCGTTCAGCTTCGCGAGACGACGCAGCGGAGACGAACGTATCGTTTTCCGGGAGCAACGTGCCAAAATTCGTCCATCCTGGCTGATCGACGTTCGAGTGTAAATAGTTCCTGAAATACACGACACACAGGTTCAGATACAAATAAAATGCCGGCGATGCTAGCCGCGTTTACGATCGTCGTTACCTTTCTGTCCGCTTCAATGATTCATCCTCTGGCGCGCAATGAAATAAAATAATCCGTGAATTATTTCATGGAACGTGGTTCGCGTGGCGGCTACATAATGTAAGGACCAACATGAAGGAACAAAAGAATCGCTATAATGGGCCTGGCCATGGCTCGTGTCCAAACGGAAGGAAAACACTATACGGTGCATCGTTCGATACAAAATTCCTCTTGTGTTTGATTTTTCGACGATCATTCACGAAGATTGACAAAGAAACTTTTTATCTTCTTTAAGATCATTACTATTGATCATTATGTTCGTTCATCCACGAAGATTGACAAAGGTTCAGAAACTTTTTATCTTCTCCAAAATCATTTTTACTATTGATCATTATGTTCGTTCATGCACGAAGATTGACAAAGATTCATAAATTTTTTATCTTCTCCAAAATCATTTTTACTATTGATCATTATGTTCGCTCATCCACGAAGATTAACAAAGA